AAGATTCTTTCCTTAAAGCATTAGTTTCCTAATTTCAGTTTTGAATTTCAAGGTTTTTTACGATTTGCAAAAACTCTTAAATAGTATAATCAGAAAATGCAAAAATAAAAAGGTCAGAAACTTCAAAACAAGAAAATTAATTTGTCTTCTTACATTCTTACGCATTTTCGGTTACTTTATCTATTTTTTCTTTGTTTTGTTGTATTTTTTATTTTTTTTATTTCTTTTTTTATTGTAGGACAGGTCCTTCCGATGAATCGGTCCAGTCTGAATGGACCGGTGCGCATACTGGTTTGACCACCATCCAGTTCTGATAACACTGGCACAAACTTCTAACTTTTGACCTCTCTAACTCAAACCAGGAGCCATTCTGACATACCAGATCTCTATGTTGCCTGGTGCTAAAATTTTTCAAGAGGACTGTACACTGCGATAGAGTCATACCCTGTAACAGTTATATCATAATTATCTATCTTTGCAAATTACAAAGGCTTAAATCATTCTCTTTCTCATGGAATAGAAAATCTTATTATTTCAGACATTACTCCTCTTATGGTGTTATACAATCAGGATCATGCAATGGGGAGAAGACCGTCGCTTTGATGAAATACGTAGTAATTTGGGGAGACTGACTGTTTTCTGGATACTCCAGGTCACAGATACTTTTGCCTTTATCTGTAGCTCCAGTTTCGTTATTTAATTGAACTTGTGACAGAAAAACCTCATTGATGATGTCAGCTTCATTTATGTCCTTGTGTTACAAAGAATTCAGAAACATAAGGTGTTGTTGACTTGCTATGCATTGGTAATAGGCTTTTTGGGTTTGGACTGTAAGCCTACCTGTAACAATCGTGAATGCCAGCAATCGAAGACCATGTCCCACTGCTGCAGATGCTATTGGGTGTTTATTGTGGTTTGCGGGCATTACAGCTGAGGCGATAGCAGACCGACAAAAACTGTACTTTAAGAACTCTCCTGATAACAGAGGAAAATGGTGTGATATCGGTCTCTGGAAATTTTCACGCCATCCCAACTACTTTGGTGAGGTTAGTTGAGCTGTTGTATGTTTTGTTTCTTTTACAGGATTGACTTAATGATTACCTGCTTATAGATGAGCTTTAATTGCATTAAGTTGTAGTTACTTGCTCATACATTTTCTGTTTCCTTCTCAACATTGATATGCTGGTCGCATGGTTCCGGATACTTGAGTGATTTATTTTTCTTTCTTTTTACTCATTTTGGTTCTTCATTTACTAACTGGGGCTCGGGCTTCTGCAACCTATTCTTCAAAGCAAGAATTAAGCCCTTCCTTTCCTGGTATCTTTATATTTTTCTTTGTTTATATCTTTTCATTTCCCTGTTGATATATTGATATATTTTTCCCTCATGCTCTGCCTTTTTTTACCCCTTCAAAATTGTCAGTGAAGGCGTTCTTACTGGATTCTAGACCAGGTTATCTGTTAAATGATTTTCCAAATAAAAATTTATGGTAGGAACTTTCATTACCTTTATTGGACATACTGTGAAACCATTAATATTTACCCCATGATGATATTGTGTAATAATGTATTTCTTATGTGGTGAGTGCTTTAGATTCTACTTTGGTGGGGTATCTATGTGATATCTGTTCCTGTGATAGATGGAGCTGAAAATCTTGTAGTTGTAGGACCAATCTTCCTAACTTTTCTGCTCCTCTTCTTCAGTGGCATCCCATTGCTTGAGGTTCGTTCTGTTGCTGACTGCCCTTTGTGCTGTCATTCACATATAAATGATTCTATAATAAAAAATTTGTAACTCTTTGTGAACATTGTGCATGGAAGCAGGATTCAGCTGATAAGCGTTTTGGCAGCATAGAAGAATATCGTCAATATAAAAGGATTACAAGGTTATTTTATGATAATATCTCAAGCGAATTCGCATTTCCTGTTTGTCTATTCTCATATGTAATTCAGGTTAATGCTGTTAGTCTACCTAATCTCACTTGTGTGTTGCAGGCCCCTCATTCCTTGACCACCATTCATATATGGGAATTTGCCAGCATGGTTTAATAGATATTTCCTCTTGGAGTTTCATCTCTACAGTAGGAATCTTCCTATGGATGATATATCTGATAGGTAAGAAGTTGAACCCTGTTTATCTGCATTGTAAAGGCATCACATGAATCCATTAATTTTGATTTATCATATTCTCTTCTTCATCCTTCACATGATCCATGTGCGTTGTTGCTGTGTACATGCTTTTTTGCTCATGCAATAGCATACTGAGAGCGTTTTAATGGGATGTAGTGTGTGTTTAGGTGGCTCTTTCTTGGTCATTTTATATTGGTTTAGAAATAAAAGTTTCAAGACTGCTCTCGACCTAGATTCTAGGTCCATCAAACAATGGTCCAAAAAATGCCCGATGGCGCCTAAGCAATTAGGGGGTCTTGGCTGCACAGTGCCTAGGCGGCCGCCTAGGTGGGCACCCAGATATCTGGGCGGCATAGGTTGAAGGTGAGGGGCAGCCACGGGGAATATGAGTTTATGACATTACGAATTTACGACTATTAGACTATACTATTTAACACAAATATGAGCATATGGCGATAACACATCATAAAATAGTAGAAATCCCGTACCCAAAGTTCCAAACCATTGTAATAGACTACTAGCACAACTAAAAAAAAAATATAACAATAATAAAGTCACAATCCATAGTCCATACTCTATGCTCTATAATCCATACCATCCCATAACCATACTTTCATAAAATGATGCAGACATACACATAAGAGCAGAAAATAAGAAAAATAAAATATAAACTCGAAGACTCAAGAGTCAAGAGTCTTCACTCATCTTTAGACAAAGTTGGGTAAGCCTTATCATATGCATCAAAGTTGAGTCCATTGTCATCAGAGTCATCTTTCTCTTCAACATAACGCTCGTACTCCTTTGTTTCTTCTGAATCTACTTGTTCCTCCTCTTCTTCTACCCCAACCCCCCTTCCCTTGCTTTATGCAGATGATCTAGAGGCCCTAGGAGTGTTGGCTGCTCTACTTGATGCCTCATCACCCTTTTCTTACTTTTTGTGTTTTACAAAACTCGAATACTGTTTAATCTCCTTCCTGATATCTTCGGGAATCTTCTTAAAAGAGACAATACCCCTCCTTATTCCAGCAAGGCGTTTTTTGGATAGGTAAATGCCCCTGTTAGTATCCTTTTCACAATAATTATATCTTATATAATTTTTGTCATTCGGATTCGGGTTATAACCATACATCCAACCTAGATCATCACTTCTAAAATATCATGGAGAATATATTTCCATATAAAGAGGCGCCTTTTCTTTCTTTTTTCATTTTACCAAATCCAAATATTGTCTAATCTCATCCCTAATAGCTTTAGGAACCTTTTTACAACAAAGAACATTTCCTTTAAAACTGGCAAGGAGTTTCTTGAACCGGTTGGTATCTTTTTCACAAAGATTGTTCCTTATACAATTTTTATGATTTGGATTTGGGTTATAACCATACGTCCAATCTAGATCACTACTTTTAAAAGAACCAAAAAGAGACTTATCCAAATGACAAGGCCTCTTTTGTTCTTTTTTGTATTTTATCGAACTCAGTTGTTACTTAATCTTCTATGTGACAACTTCAGAAAATGTTTTACAAGGGACAACAGCCCCCCTAATACCAGCAATGTGTTTTTTGAGCCAGTTTATACCCCCATTAGTACCTTTTTTGCAATAATTACATCGTATACAACTTTTGTCATTTGGATTTGGATGAATTTATTCACTACTTTTTTAGTCTCATTTGGATGTATTTTGTTTAGTTATACTTTAAACATACTTTTCATATTTTTTGGGATTGTTTGAGATTTTTTTTAACCCCTTTTAGCCCGGGCGAGACGTGCTCGGTTAGGGTCAGTTACCCGGACAGGTTCTGGGTTACCCGGACCTGGGCAGATCCTGATGATATTGAATGTTGTTTTATAAATCCAGTTATTATAATCAATATCCATCTAAAGTTCGATCTGAAGGAGCATATAATCCAGGACGCATCATTGAATTGATAAATGCTTTGGTTATTCTGCCAACTTCTTCCCTTGATATGGCCCTAAATAGAGTAGCTTCCTTTTATGATGTGTTTAGATTATGGTCATTGAGTTGATAAGATGTAGGGAAGAGTAACAATAATGGTTGAAATCATCCAGCTTACGCCAGCTCTTTTTTACTCATTTTAGTGATAGAAAAGCTCGCTAAACCATTGGAGGATTGAGTGTTTGCTTGTGATGGTTACGTGCTCGCTGTGTCTTCATGTTGGCTTCAACCAAGAAACATGGGAGCAAAGGCAGTTATTGCTATGCTCATGGAGGTTGCTTTTGTATGTATAGTTGAATGAAAAATTCTATTACATCTGGATTTGCTAGTCGTTTTAATTATTATGTGTAATATTTACAGGTTGTGACTTATCTAAAATTCAAAATCATTTCTTTCATATAAAATTTGCATACTAGATGAAAAATAAGCCTACCATTTGCTTCTCATTCTCTCTAGTAATTCATATAAGAAGTTTCTTCTGCATTGCAGATTTTTTTAGGGTTGATCCTCTTTCGGAGACATATTATGGAGGGTTAACTAACAAAGTGATTCTTCTAAATTCTTTTCTTTCATGATATGAACAGGATTTTGTATCTCATGGCCATTGATTTTCTTGTACTAATATTTTCTTGGCTTCCTTGTCCATTTTTGGTTGTGTGAGGGTACACATACACATGCACACACATGTAATGGCACGTGATCTGTTCATCTTGGTCATTAGGGATATATGCAAATTATGAGTGCACTCATTTCTATTTAATCCTTGAGGGCTTCATTAGTTATTCTTGGGAATTAATGTTGTTCATCTTGTTCATACTTTTCCATTTGACATTCAAATCCTCCTCAGAACTTGAGTTTTTATTGAGTCAAATATGGCCAAAACACATTTTGTAGACTCAATCTGACTCCAACTCAACTACAACTTCAGTCTCTTCCTCCCCTCCCTGATGCGAAGCCATGGCATCATCGTCAAGAGTCATTGCATTCTGTCTCGTGTACCTCTTTTTCGTCATTCTCTTCTGATTTGGCCTCATCCATCTGTAGAGCTGCCATAGCTCTAAGACTCTGATTTTCTAGTTAATGTAGGTCACAGATCTGTACTCCATCCCACCACCTCCTCGACTTACAACCAAGTCGTCTTGTTTGAATACCCTGCTTCTTAGCTATCCATTCACAAGATTTGTCAGCTTCTTTGGGACCACATTCAGCTATTCACAGTCAATTATACACCCACTGATATTATGATGGCATTCAGAACATGAATGAGCAATCTGGAGAATTAAATTGCCTGCACCGCCGTGTTGAGTGGATTTTTAGAAAATGAGTGACCGTATGTGATCCCTTATTTTTGTTGTTCCTTTTTAATGCATCAATTTCGTTCATGATGATTTGGCCAATAGTCTCCCACAATTTTCATACTGCATGCTAAAGCAGTGGTTATATTGAATGCATGGCAGATCACAGGAACTTGTTCATATTTTTACCATGGAGTTGTAGGTTCAACAAGGCAAAAGGAAATGTAATCTGTGTTAAAGAGTAACAAGTAAGAACTTGGGCAACTTAATATGCACAAGTTTTAAAAGTAAGAATTTGAGTAACCTAGCTAATTAACCAATGAAATTCTTGTTATTTAGTACAAGTATAGATCTAGAATACCGAATACCAACTGATGTTTAGGAATTTATTACTAGTTGCTAAATATTTGTTTTAATTACTACTTTGACGCTAATGGCTCTTTCCTTGGATCTACTTTTATGTAAAGTTCGCCACTGTGTTCGGCAAGAGTTCAATGACAATGGAGAAACTTTGAGACGAATTGGGAACTTTTGGAATTTGGCTTTCTAGGGTAAAAGATAAATAAGCTTGTTTTCTTGAGAAGTCATGCTGCATCCAAAGATATTTCGAGCCTAGGTGGCGATCCCGCTTTGAAATCTCATTCCACATCTTGGAAAGTGGTCTTTAAAGGATCTCGAATTTTAAATTTTGAGATCTCAATCCCCACTATTAAGGATCTCTATATCCACCTTAAAGATCCAGATAATGACCAACATGAGGATTTTTAAGCAACTTGCAAGGGAACTTTACTTTTGATATAATTGCATTCCTTGCTGGCTATAAACAAATAGTTCCTTAGTTTCAAGAGTGGATATAGTTCTAGACTATTAGGAACAAGATCCCCAAATGGTTAGGCTTAAAAGTTTGTGATCGAGATCCATAACGCTTTTGGATATCAATTCCTACAATATGGATACTGCTCTGATCCAGATTAACTCAACATCAAGATTATATATATATAGGAAAACACTATGCAATGCCTATAGGTGAAAATAAATAGTGATTTTGTCTATGTTTATCACCGTCCAAAGGTCATCGCACGGTCACAATTGTCAGGTAGTGTTTCAATTTTTATTTTTTTTCTACAGATTAGAATGATTTGAAATTTGGAGCATGTGTTCATAAAAAATATGATAATCTAATAAAAATGCAAAAAAAATTATTCACAAAATATAAATTAACCAAAATATCCATGAAATTTTATGGGGGTAGTTTGGTCAATTTCTATTTTGTGAAAGATTTGTTTCATATTTTTATTAAGTGCATCTCACTAAGATGTACACATGATCCAAATTTCAGATCATTTCGATTTGTAGAAAAAAAAATGAAAAATGAATTACTACTGGACAATCAAGACTGTTCGATGAACTTTCGACGGTGATGAGTATAGGTAAAGTCACTATTCATTTTCTCCTATAGGCGTTGGGAAGACTTTTTCA